TTAATCTAAATACAAAAAAAAACAAACACAAAATTTCAGTTTTCGGAATGAAAACCAACTAGAGCCTACGGAAACAGAGAAAGGCTCAACAAATATTAATGCACAAGCAAGTCAAGACACGAAGCAGGGGCCAGAAAAAGGGATGCCAGTAAAATACCGGAGTAAGCAGATTATCATCGGTGGGAAGCCTCAGATCATCCTTGGTATTTCCATTTTCAGTCAAAAGACTCACCTACATGAATTTAATCATCAATTAGTTAAGCCACCATAACAAAGCTAAAAAACAAGACAACCAACTCAATTGGAAACCATTGCTTTTGCCATTTTCTCCTTTCTAGTATTCTACAGCCTTCCCTGAAGCAAGTCATTATTTAATATGCATCAGAAAAATATTGATATTAATAGTTCCATAGTTGAAATTAGCAATTTATGCTTCTAGTTTCAGTTGGATTTACACCATATAACCTTGGGTCTCACATAGTTTAGCACTACACATCAAATTTAAATTCCAATCCTTTTATACATGGAGATGAAAAAATCACAGTAGTTTTCTCAGTTGAAAAAGGCATGCAATAGATTATAGGCAAAGCTTTCCAACTTGTCCCATTAAACAGATAGGGCTGCCAGAGACAAAATTTACTTGAACAGTAGAAATTAAACAAACTTACAAAGCCATCTTCAGAGATATCAATCAGCTGATAATCAGTACGATTAACATGGGGAACCTGTCAAAACAGAAATTTATCAAAACACGAACAAAGGCACTTGTAACAAGAAATAAACATATATAAACTGTTAGATTAGCAAAGAGTATTACATCACAGTTGTGAGATGAAGGAACAATATCTTCAAGCTTTTTCCCATTAAATATATCAATCCCCACAAAGTGGCACTTAGCATGTCCATGCTTTCCTGTCTTTGAGGTGGAAACCTCAACAACCTGTACTTTTCAAATGAACAAAAACAATAAGGACCGTCATTATTATTGGGCAGAGCAAGAAAATAATGAACTAGAAGCTCATCATCATTAAAGCATTTTGCTCCCAAACGTAACAGCTGCACATATAAGCTTGTTTTAGCATGCATGGGAGATGGCACCTTATACCTAGTTATAACTATACGTGATGCCATCTGAACCAACCAGAGAGAGCACCACCACCTATCTAAATAATCCTCTACACACCTATTGGTATTGATGTTTTTGGTGATATTTGCAGACATGCAAGCTAATATCATTGTTTTGGAGGATGTCTTGCAAGAGACACTAAGTTGCAGCACTCCACACAGGCATGAAAACAATTTCACGGAGCTGCAATTTCACACGTCTGTCCAGCATGACATTCAATCCACATTTGGTCATGATCAAGGACCATTGTTACTATTGGAACGATGATAAATTCCAAACAACACTTGCTCCACTGCAGGTTCAGATCCAGTTCTCACTGAAGCAATTATCTATGTTTATGGGGGTATTTATGATCTAGGGTTATATGCAACTTCTTTCAACCAAACTCTGGAAATTTGGGGGTTTTCAATAAGTTAAGAGATTTGGCAAACATATGAAAGCTAAGACTTTGAGGCATCTTTACTTTTGTGAAAAAGACTCCACTGTTCCAGCTAATTTTTAGTGCATAGAAACAAAAAAGACCCTTGTATGGTCGCACTTGATTAAATTCCCTGGATGGCATGGCAAGATGAATCAGTGGAGTAAAATTAAATCACTCCATGCCATTTTTTATCAACCCATGTATTATCTTTTGATTGTTACATTGCGAGGATTCTCTGATACTAAAGTGCCAAAACCAAGGAAGACTCATGGGGCACCACCCACATGCAGCCTGTGAAAGCTCAAAATTTTCTAAAGTTTTAATACGCTAATTCCCACTGTCTGAAATCTTGTCACAAATAGCACATAAAGACATCGACCTTTAAATCGACCATAAAAAGGTGCACACACGCGTAACAAAGCCACACATAAACATAATTTAAAAATTACAAATTTTTAGACACAAAATCCCTACAGGAGAAGAACAATTCTGGGTACACCATCAACATCAAAATCAACTCTCTTTTTTTAAACATCCCCAAAAGGATATAATTAATTGTAAACAAATCCAAGTATGAACTCTGCTAAAAATCACTTTTTGATTTTTTTTTTAAATCACCTTTGTAAATAGCATGACTTATCAATCAATTTACAAAGAGCACACTGAGATCTGGAAAGAAAAAACAAAAACCCAGATAGAATCCATAACAAGAACATAAAAAAACAAAAAAAAAGAGAGAAAAAAAGAGGAGATTAAGACCTTGCAAGGACGGTTCTTGATGACTATATAGCCATTCTTGCGGATAGTACCAGCTTGCTGAGGGTAAGTCTTGGAGGCTCCTGCATCAGCCTTCGATTCAAAGTGGTGCTCCTCGTCCGACATGTTGGTTGGTTCGGTTCTCTCTCGAGCAGAAAAGGAAAAAATAATGGAAGAGGATGATGACTTCTCGAGACAGAAGAGGACAGGGCACCGCCACTTCTATTTTATGCCTTCCTTCGATACAGATAGACAGATAAAAAGATGGAGAGAGTTTGAGTTTGGAGACAACACCTTCTCAACCCTGGTTAATGTTTTCGTCCAATCTTGACCGTTGGATCCTTTCCTTGAGTTTAGCTTAGCTTAACTTCCCACTTCTTTTATACCTTTCTTTTCGAAATTTTGTATTTTTTATGTAATATAAATATATTTATATATTGGTTTCACTGTATCTTATTTAAATTTCAAGGATGGTTGGGGGAGAAAAAAACACTTCAGGTTAAATGTGAATAATTCATATAAATTTTTTATTCTGCGGTAATATTATTTTTAAAATAATTTATATAATAAATTAAATTACATTTTAAATCCTAATCAAACGCTTGAAAATCAAGTCACACGTTACATGTTTCATTATAATTATAATATAATGTCTCAATCATTGTAACTCCATTTTTATAATAACAACACTTTTTTTTCAGATAATTTATCGATAACTTAAAAAATTGATAATGCTAAAGAAAAGATTCAGGGATGGAGTATCTTGAAGGTTATTTTTTTAAAAACAATTAATTAAAAATATATAATAATAATATTTTTATTTTATTTTTAAAAATATTTTAAACACTATATATCAAAATATCTAAAAATATTAAAAAAATTAATTTAAAATAAAATAAAATAAAAAATATTTTAAAAAATACTTTTAAAACACAAAAATAAACTAATCCTATTCTTTTTTTTATATGATATATTAATAATGTCTATCCCAAGTTCAGTACTTTAAATTTTGTGGTAAGTATTTGTAATCTCACTTTTGAGTGGCAAAATATGCTTGATGTAGAAAGTGATTTTATCCCATTAATTTCTGCTGCATAGACGGAGATTTCTCTCCATGTTTTACAGATAAAAATAAAAAAAGATTCTTCAAAAAGGATATAGTAATAAAAAGCTGAAAGAATTCGAATTTACTAATTCTATTTTCTCGACTTTTTTCAGTGATGACCTTTTTTTTTTTTTAATCCTCTTGTAACTTTCCTTTGCCTTTCTCTTAATTTCTTTGATTTTTTTTCTCGTTCTCTCTTCTATTGGGAACCTTGGAAGGGATGCTTTGCCAGCATATTCTTCATCTGTTTCCAATTGCTGTCGTCCACTCATTTTTCCAGCAAGATGATATATATATATATATATATATGTTCGTAGGCATATTTTCTATTTTTGTTTTCATGCATCTTCTTCTGTATTTACAAGTAGCATCTGGTGCTTAAGGTCAGAGATATCAGGATTCTCACCTTCTCAAAATACACATCTTTTATTATGGTGGTTATCTAACATAAAAACCCAATAAAATAAATAGACTATACATCAAGATTAAATATAATGAAATAATAAGATTAAAAATTATTAACTCTTATTATTCTAAGTTAAAATAAATTCGTTACTTCATAATATATTCATGCCAATATAATTTAACTATTATTATAAGAATGAACCCAACATACTGCTACATCAAAAAAATTAAAAAAAAAAAAAGTAAATATAATTCCAGTTTAGATTGATAACTTTAAATATTTTTTTTAATTTTAAAAATCTTTACATTAAAATTATTAAAAATATTAATTTAATATTTTTTTTCAAATAAAAAATATTTTAAAAAATAAAAATAAAAATTATAATTGACAAATTTAAACTGTTGATAAGAAGACAAAAGAATAACTAAAAGTGAATCTAATAATAGTTTGTGGAAAGTTTACGATTTAATGGTGAATATAACATTAAAGTGATAATGGAGAATCAATGATGCCAATCTTCAAAAGGTAGAAAAAGGGCAAGGTATTTTTATATTATAAAACAAAAATCATGTAGTCAAATTAGCATGATCGCGGCTATACTTGGTAGGTGTGATGCAGTCTAACTGTTTATTCTACATTAAAAACAAAATGGTAGGGCTATGTAATTATTTAAAAAATATATATATATATATATATATATATGAGATTTTAATTATGTTTTATAAATTTGATTAATTTAAATAGTATAAATAAATATATAATAATAAAAAATTAAATGAAATAAAATTATCAAACTCCTAACAGAAAAGTAAAATTTAAAAAATATATTTTTATAAAACTAATTTAAAAAATTAAATCAATTTCCATTAACTCATTAAACTAGTAAATATAAATATAAAATTAAAATAACTTTTTAAAGAGGAAAGTGTAGTTTTATATTTTATATTTTTTAAAATACTAAATTATTTTTCAATCAACTCAATTACAATTAGAAAAATATGTAAGAATAAACTAAAAATATATTGGATATTAGGCAAATAATATTTTTTAAAATTTTAAAAGTAATTTAGTTATTTTATTATTTTTGAGAAATGTTAAAAGACTTTCATGTCTCTAATAAATCTGAAAATAATTAATGAATCGTGAGGAAAAAAAGTTACCATTAACAATAAGTTGATTAATTTTTTAAATAAAATAATTATTTTATTATTTCAATCCACATTATCTGCCCGTTGATCCGTAATAAAAGCTCTTATAGATTTTTGTTAATGTGGTTTCATAAATTCAACAAATTATAATTTCTATGCTTATAAGACTGGTCATAAAAGCAGTATTGACCTGACAGTTGCGCATACAATAACATTACGTAGTAAATTAAGTTTCAAATTTTAAAATGTTGTTTGCAGCTTCAAATTGAATTTAATTTATAAGATTAAATTTAATTTGATTTATAAGATTAGATCAATTATATATTATGTTTCAAATTTTATTTTAAAATAATGATTTAAATTCTAAATAAAAAAATAAAAACAAATCAAAGAGGAACCCTCTTATTTATTTAAAGAACTCAATTCTAACTGAGATATATAGTAAATTACTTCCCAAAAACATCCCATCTTTATTAACCTTAATAATTTAATATCCTATTATAATTTAATATCTTATTTATTTTTATGTTTCAAAAATATTTTTTTAAATTATTTTTTTAATATATATTTTTTTAAAAAAAATACTTTAAAAAATAACCATTGTCACGACTTCGCACTTTAATTATTATTTTTTTACGTACTGATTTAAATTCTAAATAAAATGTAATTTATAAAAAATAAATAAAAAATATCCCTTCCTCCACCTCGCTTTCCATCTCCTCCTCTTCTAACATCGAGGCTCGTTGTTTCAACCATCTATCATTTAGGTGTTAAATCTTTGGCATAACTTGTTGTCTTTACTGACAAGTAACATGCATTTGAAAGTATACTTACGTTATTTTTTAAGTTTTTTTTTAAAAAATATATTATAATATTTTTTTATTTTTTAAAAAGTATTTCTAATATTAATACATCAAAATATCAAAATAATATAAAAACACTAAAAAAATTCAATTTTAAATAAAAAATTTCAATTTTTTTTTAAATATTTTTAAAAACGAAAACCAACATATAGTTCAACTGACATGCAAGTTAGTTGAAAGTAAGATTGTCAAAGCTCCATTAAATGTTTGTTGACTAAGAGGCACCTCAGTCGTGCAGGTTGTGAAATATGACAGAAAGATTTCGGTTCTGCTGAGTTCTTGTTTTTGTAGCGCGCACGCTTGTAAGTAAATTGGTCATAACGATTGGTACAAAGTTCCAAATCCTGCACCGTTGATGCTTCGGAAACCAGACGCAAACAACTTTCTGAGGATCGGTTCAAGCATCTTCAGCTTCGTCGACTTCTTCGGACTGAGCTCAGGTCTTTAAGCTTTGTTAATCCAAATTCATTGGTGGATCTGAATATTGGATTTTCCAGGAATGCAACCCATGAAGAATTGGAAATAGATATCATTACTTGCTATTTTTCCTGTACAGTTGCTCACCTGTCATTCTTCAAGCTGACAGCATTTTCAGAACTATCGCCTTCTTAAGATGTCTACTATCTGAGAGGTGCAAAGATGAGATCATGATAAATTTACGAGTTTAAACGATGAAAAGTTTCAGCTGCCACAAATAAGTTGAATCGAGAAAAGGCATGAACAGGCAAGCCCTTTAAGCAATTTCATGATAATAACAAGCATGTCTTTGATCCATGGAATTTGTCGTCCTGACACAGCATATATAGTAAACCGAGGCTAAGCACTTCCAGGAGCCATAAGTCTCTAGAGTAGTCATGTTTCTACGAGTAGATCATGTAATCAAGGGTCATTGGATCTTACAACAATAATTAAAACAAAAAAGATGGAAAAGCTGCAACATCAATTTATTCGGAAAGAAACTCCTTGTCAGCTGAATAAGAAAAGAAATGCGAGCTGAATACTGCTACAACCATCCATGAATATGATTAAGCTTGCTTCCTCTCGAGAGCAACCAGAAAAGGCAATAAGGAAATTTCAGATATTCCCACTGGACCAACCAACCAGCATTAAAATCAGTTCAATCATACAACTAATCGAGCCCAACTTTTCTTTTCTTTTTTCTTTCTTTGTTGATTGACAGAGAAAGGAAACATTGAGGAATAATTTGGAGTCATCGACGCTGATGCTAAAGACAAGCCATAGCGAAACATACAAGAAAAGAGAAAATGGGTGCGTGGCACTTTTCCCTGGAGTTATTTCACCATTGGCGAGGATATTTGACCACAGTTTTCTACTTTCTTTCACTTCACAACGCTCTATTACAGAGAGTGCAGACAGTTTGATACAGAGAAAGCTACGTCTAGCTGGTTAAAATCTCCATTCCATCCATGCAATCATCACTTCAAATGTCAAATCATGCGAGCTCGAGTCCAAAACTATCACCGCTTTGGTGAATTGCTTCGTCGTTCTCAAAATGGATGGCACACCTTCACTAGGATAAGATAAAGAAATTGGTCTGAAGTAGGAGCAAATTTATTGTAGAACATCATTTGTTCTTCACACAAGGATAAAGCATGAGAAAATAAAAAGGGAAATGTAGGTTAACAAAAACTCTAAACCGCATGGGATAACCATTGTATACTTAGGTATATAGAATTATTAATTGCTCCAATGAAATTATTTTTTTGACCTTAATAAAAAAAATTAGA